TTTGGTGGGTGGTAAACAGCAGCTAGGTTAATACCGCCATCAAATAAATCTTTTTCTGCAGACCGTGGGCCTCCAGGCTCATCGCTGCCCCCCTCAGGACACCGTGCATTATTTCCTGGGCATTACGCTGACGTGCATCATGCAGAAGTTAGGCTGTCGTTGGACAGAAGTTCTGGACTCGTTATGAATACGCCCAGAATAGAAAAAATCCAAAGAAAGTTTAGCATCTGCCAGCGTTTTATGGGATTCTGGGACGTATAACCAGTATTCAGAAGGTAAACTCATCTAAAGCTGCTCAGGGCTCAAATTGTCCAAAAATAACCAATAAAGGCTTCCCTAAATTTGCCAGAGCTGTAACCTCCACTCATCTCCATGTTCCTCCAGTATTTAGCAGCTCAGCTTGGCTCACAGCAGGCAGCTTCTCAGGAACCTGAGAGTTGCTCTAAGTTTGCTCGCTCTGCAGATCCCGCTCCTTAGTGTGGGGTCTCTCATTATGCCACATGCTCCTCTAGGAGAGCAGAGTTAGATATAGCAAATGTTGATCCTTCTACACTGATGATCATGGCCACAATCAGCATTAGTATCATGGATTATGGCCCACAGCATCATAGATCCTCCACCTTATCACAGCAGGCACACAGGTTGCTTCTGCACCTCTCCTTATCTTTGATGTAAACTGGATCCACCTCCAGGATTCCTTTCTTCTCATCTAACCAAACTCCAAACGTTGTAAGTGTAGCAACCTTCTAATCATCAGCTCTTATTTTGAAATGGATTTTATTCTTGCTGTGTCTGACTTCCTGTCTGGCTTATCTGGTTATCAGACATTGACTCATTTTGCTCCATCCTCCTTCATAATCAGACTGATGGCGGACATAGAACAGCCGCCCATCATGCGCCGTCGCTGCAAAGGCAGCAGGACTGAGAGGATGAACAGATGGAAGCGGGGGGTGGAGGGGGGGGCGTTCCTTTGGGCCCCATAAAACTCTGTTTCCACGTATGGTTAATCCAACTATTCCTTATTTGTGCACATTGATTATGTTTTTGATGAAAATCCTTTGGCTTCAATGCCATCAGAGCTCTGATAATATTAAATGTGTCTCTATGGATTCTATTAACAACAGCGGGTTTCCACTCTCTGTCCAATCAGCTCAGGGTTTAAACAAACAGATTGTTTTGGAATAAAGTCCCTGGAAGCCAAATAAACTCTGCTTTCATTCATTAATCGGATGTAAGAACATTCAGAGCTTCAGATTGGTGCGGTCACCTGATCCACAGGAGCATCTTCCTGCTGAGCGGCGGCCCTCAGACCCCTGATGGTTGGCTAACAGCCCTCCACTGCAGCCTCCTGGCTCTCAGCGCTGATCTAGCTTCATCACACGGAGGCGCTGCTATGAATACCAGCAGACGTCATGAGGGGATCCTTTCCACAGTGACTGAGTGTCACCCTGATCCCCGATCCAACAGCTAATATTAGCCAGCAGTGAGGAACTCAGTGTGACCTTCAGGGACTCTGAGCTTCTGTGTTATAGCAGAGGGAACAATTTCTCACATGACCTTCAGGCTGCGGCTGGAGGTTAGAGACAGCAGAGCGTTGCCTTCAAAGTATTTCTGGCCTTTGGTCAACAGGTGGAATAGTTTCCATATGATAAACGTGCCCATGCTGCAGACGTGTGCTCTCTGTCTGCAGGACAAAAGAAGGATCCAGGAAGACATTGCTAAGAAAAGACGGCAGATTGAAGAGGAGAAGCTGAAACTGCAGTATATCAAGGTATGTTTAAAGCTGAGTCTGGCTTTAATTCTTCCTGAAACCACAGAAGAAGCTTAGGAGTCTCCTTGGTGTGACTGAAAATTGATCCTAATCCCAATCCAGCCTCTTTTATTTTAGTTCTATACCACTGGCATCAACCATCTAAACATATTAATTAAAGCTCCTTATCATAGCTGAAGATGGAAACAATCAGGAAGAAGACATTCAGCTCTGCCATCAGTGGAAGATGATGCAGAAGCAAAGTTAGCATGTGAGGAGGGGTGTGGCCTCTTCATCCTCAGATACACACCATGGTAGTTAAACACGCCATAGATCCACATCAAGCAGATAAACATGGAGCACGAAGATCCTACAAAGTTCAGAGGGCAAATGTCTCCCTGCTCATCCGCTCTAAGGCGAAACTGGGAATGAGGGACGAGAGGGGAAGAGAACGAGGGAGGAGAAAGGAGCAGAACGAGGGAGGAGAAAGGAGCAGACGCAGCATCTGGAGGTGAAACTGTTTCTGTGTCTGTTTCA